GCTGTCTCCTTCATCCTTCCTACAATAATTATGTAGTATTCATTTTTCAGATTTACATTCACTACTCACTATAAGCTAAGGATGAAAATGTTTTAAGCTTTTGACTGTTGCAACCCCAATTCTGAAACTGTCTCCCTGTGTTGCAAAATTTTTGAAAAAAAAAAAAAAAAAATTCGTAAGAAAATGTTAGGATTAATTTGCCGAGTGTTTTAAGCCTAAAAAAAAAAATTGCGATCAGTACTTAACGAGATATAGAGGCAAAAAGTTTGCAGAAAATTAGCCTCATATGGCAACAGCGGCAAATGCCGCTCACCCGGTACACTTATGTTTACTCCCATTCGAAGGTTTCTTGTATTTTCCAATATTTTTTTTCCAAGTAACTTATGTGGCCTGTGAGACGAAAGTAAGGTGCAATGTACATATATACACTCATTGTATGCAACACAATAACCGCACAAACATTATTATCATTATATTATTTACAAAACTTGTTCACACAAACCAACAATACAAAAAATTGTTTATTACTATTGTTCTATAATATATATACAAATGTAGTCACTGGACATGTTCCTAGACATGCTTCCTTGTGGAACTCTTTGAAACATGGTTTCATACACAATGGTGTTTTACACTCCTGCATTTTTTGTGGCCATCTGAGCAGTTTTCTTCAAAGTAGTAGCAGGCAGTTGTTAGGTAGTTATCGTAGGTAAATGATCGTGTGTCATCATTCCTTCCTTCTTTACTTCTTTCCTTCCTTCCTTTTATCTCGTCCTTCCTTCCTTTCTTCCTTCCTGCCTCCCTTCCTTCCTGCCTCCCTTCCTTCCTTCCTTCCTTCCTTTCTTTCTTCCTTCTGGTTTCTATAATATATATACACATATATAGTCACTGGACACTTTCATAGAACTGCTATTAGCTTCTAGAAGCTTGGTGTTGTGTGCATGTGTGTGGACTTGTAAATGTGCTGAGTCAGGGTGTGGCTGCTGTCAAAATGACAAATTATACCATCATGCACTACCCTTACTACCTGTCAGTACCCATGGGGTCCCATGCCTTCTTCCCCACTGTCCCTACCTACCTACCTACCTACCTACCTACCTACCTACCTACCTACCTACCTACCTACCTACCTACCTACCTACCTACCTACCTACCTACCTACCTACCTACCTACCTACCTACCTACCTACCTACCTACCTACCTACCTACCTAACCTACCTACCCTACCTAACCCTACCTACCTCCCTACCTACCTACTACCTACCTACCTACCTACCCACCCTCTCTCCATCCATCTCATCTCATCTCATCTCATCTCATCTCATCTCATCTCATCTCATCTCATCTCATCTCATCTCATCTCATCTCATCTCATCTCATCTCATCTCATCCTTCCTTCCTTCTTTCTCATATCCTGGGCATTGCTTTCAGTCACAAATGCCTCAGAACTATGAAATTTATCTTAAGAAACACTTCCATCTGTGTTAGAGCTATCACTTGGGAAGAGAAGTGTCCCAGATTCGCCGGGGAGTCAGATATTTCTTACCACTAGGCATGCTGAACAAGGACTACTGAAATGGAATTCCCACAATGCACCACTGGCTCCCCATTTTTTTTTATACTGTGCTCACTAACAATGGAGACCCATTCTCTCTCATGTGGGCCTACCAGGTTTCTCCCGCTTGATTTGAAACTACTATAATTTTGGCATATTAACCCTTAAACGGTCCAAACATATATATACGTTCTCTCGCGTAGCGCCCCAAACGTATACACACATCGTATGTACGTTTCCTTGTCATTCATTCAACATTGGCACGATAGGCCTGAGTCGCCTAGACATGAGAGAATGGGTGTGCGCACTCATTGTGCGCCATATGAAAAAAATTGGGGATGCCTGGGTCCGACATGCTCTTTTTTCCTATAAAAAAAATGATTTTTTTTCTCAAAATATTCGGGGTGCTACGCAAGAGAACGTATATATACGTTAGGACCATTTAAGGGTTAATATGTCGAAAATATTGGCTTGTTAGACACATACAGGGCCGAAACAGTCAAAGGGTTAAAGTAAGTAATGTGTATACTCTTTTACATCTGTATCTTTTTTAGGCCTAGCCCTGTTATGCACTTAATATATGTAGTGTAAACTTGTTATTTGGCTTTTATATGCATTTGAAAGTGAATAAAAGGGTATGTTCCACTTTTTGGTGGTTTTCACTTTTCAGTGGGAGTCATGAACCTAACCTGCCATATAAGGAGAGCCCTACTATATGCAATCTGACATTTACTGAGATGCTTCATCTTCTAAGTGAATGCCATAAATTGCATGTTGTGTCTTATTCACATTCCAGAGAGTGAAAATTCAGTGCCTTCGGCATTTCTTCAATGTTCTGTCCAGCTTGTCTAATCTCCTTAACCCCTTGACTGCCGCAACCCCAAATCCTGAGGTGTCTCCTGGTGAAGAATGAAATTTTATGGAAAACTTAGGGAATTACTCTCTTGCGAAGTTAGTGACCTCGGCGATATTTACGAATCTGCAATTTCGCCCACTTTGAGCCCTATTTTTGGCTAATTCCCGTGTTCCAGTTGACCAAACTCATAGCTATTTCTTTAGAACTCCATTTGTTCTATCGACTGAGTACAAGAAATTGCCCATTTACCGATTACAGCTACCCAATAACGTGGTCAGAAATTTGCAATTTGGCCAATTTCACACAAATTAAAAAATATGCCAATTTCAAAATAGGGTCCAGAATGAACAATGCAGACATTCCTGGCTCTAAAATAACATTTACTGTGTTCATCAGTCACATCTCCAGGCCCCTCTGATATTACTCTTGCTTTCTATTTTGAATTTTTATTCAAACAAAAAATACAAGATTTACTGTTATGCAGACTACTGCAATATTGTAATAACTGTATAAATAATGTCAACCCATTCATGACTGCATGTTAGAATGGCTAGTTGGACATTTATTGGACAATGACATTTGTTTAATTTTGAACATCGGGAAAAATCAAACATTTCCCCTACTTTGAGCTCCATTTCAAGGTACTTTTCTAAGTAAAACTAATCAAAATCACCTCTATTTCTATAATATGTTTTCCATTCTATCAAAGACCAAGAAAACGAAAATACACCCATAAATACTATACGAAAATTCGCCACAAAATCGGAGTTTTAATCCAAAGACAGGATTCGCAGCAGTGTTTCCGGACAGCGTCGTACGAGGGCATTTACTATCTTCGGCTAGTATTTTTACTGCTGAATTGTATGCCATCCTTGCAGCACTTATCCGTATTGCATCTATGCCTGTGTCATCATTTGTGGTTGTCTCAGACTCCCTTAGTGCTTTACAGGCTATACAGAAATTTGATACACCTCACCCCTTAGTCCTCCGTATCCAACTTTGGCTACGCCGCATCTTTACCAAGCATAAAGATATTGTTTTTTGTTGGGTCCCTGGTCATGTTGACGTACAGGGCAATGAACAGGCAGACACTGCTGCGCAGTCAGCAGTGACCTACCAGTTTCATATAGAGGTATTCCATTTACGGACTATTTTGCTGCAATATCTTCCCACCTTCACACCCGTTGGCAACACCGTTGGTCTACTATGCTCGGCAACAAACTTCAATCTATTAAACGAAGTATAGGTTACTGGCCGTCTTCTTATCACCAGTGTCGAGGTTGGGAGACTACTCTCTCCCGTCTTCGCATTGGCCATACTTGTCTTACTCATGGATATCTCATGGAGAGGCACCCTGCTCCTCTCTGTGAGAATTGCCAAGCTCCATTATCAGTCAGCCACATTCTGTTGGACTGCCCACTTTATCAACGAGCACGCAGAATTTACCTCCGTCGTCGTCTTCGCTCCGCTGCTCTCTCTTTACCTTCCCTTCTCGCTGATGGACCCACCTTTCATCCGGACTCTCTCATTGACTTTTTGACAACAACTGACTTACTTCACAAATTCTGATACCTTCAGCCCTTTCTACTTCAATCTCTTGCTACCCCGTACCCCCGTACTATCCCCTGCCCTGCTGTTTTCTGTAACCTACTGATCATCCCTCCTCCCTTCTGCCATCCAATACCCTCGCTTCCTTCCCTACCCTGCAGCGCTGTATAGCCCTTGTGGCTTAGTGCTTCTTTTTTATTATAATAATAATTAATCCAAAGACACGATCGGAATTTTTTTTTCTCATTATGCGCTGCATGCTGCAGGATTTTTTTTTTTTATGGTGCACACCGACCACACACTCATTCTCTCACATGTGGGCCTACCAGCTTTCTCCTGCTTGATTTGAAGCCGCTAGAATTTTTGAGTATATATACATCGAACACGGTGGCTCGTAAGACGTATGCATATGACCGAAACAGTCAAAGGGTTAAACCAGTTCTATTCACAAATGACACTATAGTTAATTTTATACAGTTATGATTTAATATTGCATCTTTACGTTTGTTTACATTTCTCGCAACTGTGAATGGCACCATATATGATCTGTAAGTGTTTGTGTGCGTAAGTTTTGATAAATTTTAACTCTTTGTAATAGATTTGTGTATATTTTATTGTAGTAAATGATAAAATAGACTAGTATCTACATTTATTTTATGCGTTCATAATATAAACTTTTTCTTAAATTTTCAGTATTTATAGGCTATGCAGTTTGTTTGCAAGTTTTTTCAAATTGTCGCAGATCCCCCCCAAAATTTCAGTATATTTATAAAAAAAAATCCATGTATAAGTAGACCTGCACAGTTCAAACTCGTGTAGTTCAAGGGTCAACTGTACTTGTGAATAACGGCCCATAGGAACTAATAAATGTTTTATTAACACAGACTTCTTACTATTGTGAAGGCAGCAGGTGTAGTGGAGGTATGGTGCCAATACTAAACATTATGCCACCAGTTTTATTGTTGAATTTTAAAGTATTTTGGGTCATGATTTCTTTCATTTAACTTCACTTTCCGAAATAAGATTATTTTTCTTTCTAGGAGCAGCACAGAGTACATTGCAAGATATCAAAGTTCCTGAGTATGGGGGAGGGTATGCCTTCAAGCCTCTCTCACCTGCCACTCGCAATCGCTACCTGTTTTGGTAAGTGGTTGAACCTGTGGATTGCCATATAGTTTTTTTTTAGTTTCCAGTGGTTGTTACATACAGTAGATTACCTTCTTTGAGATTTCATGGCAGCAGCAGTCTACCACTGAAAAGTATTTTACGGTCATTTTGACACTGATGTTTCCTTAGTGTACAGTTTTTGTTTCATGTTGTCTGTGAATGTGGTTATTGATATTCCATATTAGTTTTCATATTATCCTTTTTTTTTTATTAACACACTGGCCGAGTCTCACCAAGGCAGGGTGGCCCGAAAAAGAAAAGCTTTCACCATAATTTACTCCATCACTGTCTTGCCAGAAGGGTGTTTTACACTACAGTTTTTAAACTGCAACATTAACACCCCTCCTTCAGAGTGCAGGCACTGTACTTCCCATCTCCAGGACTCAAGTCCGGCCTGCCGGTTTCCCTGAATCCCTTCATAAATGTTACTTTGCTCACATTCCAACAGCACGTCAAGTATTAAAAACCATTTGTCTCCATTCACTCCTATCAAACACACTCACACATGCCTGCTGGAAGTCCAAGCCCCTCGCACACAAAACCTCCTTTACCCCCTCCCTCCAACCTTTCCTAGGCCGACCCCTACTCCGCCTTCCTTCCACTACAGACTGATACACTCTTGAAGTCATTCTGTTTCTCTCCATTCTCTCTACATGTCTGAACCACCTCAACAACCCTTCCTCAGCTCTCTGGACAACAGTTTTGGTAATCCCGCATCTCCTCCTAACTTCCAAACTACGAATTCTCTGCATTATATTCACACCACACATTGCCCTCAGACATGACATCTCCACTGCCTCCAGCCTTCTCCTTGCTGCAACATTCATCACCCATGCTTCACACCCATATAAGAGTGCTGGTAAAACTGTACTCTCATACATTCCCCTCTTTGCCTCCAAGGACAAAGTTCTTTGTCTCCACAGACAAATCAGCCATTTTCCATCGAGGCAGGGTGACTCAAAACAGAAGCACGTTCATCATCACTCATTCCATCATTGTCTTGCTAGAGGCATGCCAACACTACAGTTCAAAAACTGCAGCATATCTCCAACCTTCTTTCAGAGCACAGGCACTGTACTTTCCACCTCCAGGTCTGGCTAACCGGAATCCCTTCATGAATGATACTTTGCTCACACTCCAACAGCATGTCAGGTCACAAAAACCTCTTGGGTCCACTCCTATCTAACATGCTCACTCATGCTTGCTGGAGTCAAAGTTCCATGTGCACAAAACCTCCTTTACCCCCTCCCTCCAACCTTTCCTAGGACTATAACCTATGGTTATCATATCTCTTGTTGAAACAAGAAGGTTTTGGAGGTTTTATATTTTTGGAATGAAATGTTTAATTTGTTTTCGTATACAGTGGTACCTTGACTTACGAGTGCTCCAACTTATGAGTTTTACAACTTACGAGCCGTTGCTCGGTCGATTTTTTGCTTTGAGTTGCGAGCCAAAATCTGAGTTACTAGTGAGCTTCAGATAAGCCGTCACTAGTTGGGGGCGTATATGAAGTCAAATCCAACTCTGTACCCAGAGGAATGTCAGGTACTTCTTCCCATCCCACATGCTCTTCCAAGACATAACTGGAAAGATATTACTCCCATACTCATCCCAGATTGTAGTGAAGCACCTCGTCCCTTGTTTGGTTCTCGTATAAATCCGGGGAAGAGGTAACCTCCATTTTAACACTGAGTTTTTCCAGAAGCATTAAGGAAGGCCTCTGTGATATTTACCTGCCTCATGGAGCTTCCTTCAGTGGGTGAGCAGTGATAGTGGTGGGTGGAGTAGTGATAGTGGTGGGTGGAGTAGTGAAGGTGGTGGGTGGAGTAGTGATGGTGTGGGTGGAGTAGTGATGGTGGTGGATGGAGTAGTGATAGTGGTGGGTGGAGTAGTGATAGTGGTGGGTGGAGTAGTGATAGTGATGGGTGGAGTAGTGAAGGTGGTGGGTGTAGTGATGGTGGTGGATGGAGTAGTGATGGTGGTGGATGGAGTAGTGATGGTGGTGGATGGAGTAGTGATGGTGGTGGATGGAGTAGTGATGGTAGTGGATGGAGTAGTGATAATGGTGGGTGGAGTAGTGAAGGTGGTGGGTGGAGTAGTGATAGTGGTTGGTGGAGCAGTGAGGATGGTGGGTGGAGTAGCGATGGTGGTGGGTGGAGTAGCGATGGTGGTGGGTGGAGTAGCGATGGTTGTGGGTGGAGTAGCGATGGTGGTGGGTGGAGTAGCGATGGTGGTGGGTGGAGTGGTGAAGATGGTGGGTGGAGTAGTGAATGGAGTAGTGATAATGGTGGGTGTAGTAGTGAAGGTGGTGGGTGTAGTAGTGATGGTGGTGGGTGGAGTAGTGATGGTAAGATAAGACAAGATTTCGTTCGGATTTTTAACCCCGGAGGGTTAGCCACCCAGGATAACCCAAGAAAGTCAGTGCGTCATCGAGGACTGACTAACTTATTTCCATTGGGGTCCTTAATCTTGTCCCCCAGGATGCGACCCACACCAGTCTACTAACACCCAGGTACCTATTTGCTGCTAGGTGAACAGGACAATAGGTGTAAGGAAACGTGTCGAAATGTTTCCACCCGCCGGGAATCGAACCCGGGCCCTCCGTGTGTGAAGCGGGAGCTTTAGCCACCAGGCCACCGGGCCTGGTGGATGGAGTAGTGATGGTAGTGGATGGAGTAGTGATAATGGTGGGTGGAGTAGTGAAGGTGGTGGGTGGAGTAGTGATAGTGATGGGTGGAGTAGTGATAGTGATGGGTGGAGTAGTGAAGGTGGTGGGTGGAGTAGTGATAGTGATGGGTGGAGTAGTGATAGTGATGGGTGGAGTAGTGATAGTGATGGGTGGAGTAGTGAAGGTGGTGGGTGGAGTAGTGTTGGTGGTGGATGGAGTAGTGATTTTAGTGGATGGAGTAGTGAACGTTGTGGGTGGAATAGTGATAGATGTTGGTAGAGTAGTGATGGTGGTGGGTGGAGTAGTGATGGTGGGTGGAGTAGCGATGGTGGTGGGTGGAGTAGCGATGGTGGTGGGTGGAGTAGTGATGGTGGTGGGTGGAGTAGCAATGGTGGTGGGTGGAGTAGCGATGGTGGTGGGTGGAATGGTGAAGGTTGTGGGTGGAGTGGTGAAGGCAGAGGCGTTGTAAGGGGGCGCGGGCTGCCCCGGGTGACACCATTTAGGGGGTGACACCATAGAGCCCCTAAAGAAGGCAACACTAATGCACAAAACAGTGCTGCACCAACATAAGAGAAGAATTCTTCATTTCTGTATAGCCTATTACATATTGACAAAGTACAAATAAGCCTATACATGTATAGGGAAAATCATAGATTTTGATGATGAGATAGGTGATTCTGCATAATTGAAGGCAAGGAAATGTAAGATCAGATTTATTTATTTATTTATTTATTTATTTATTTATTTAATAATTTGAACATACATACAGAGGTACAAAAAAATACAGGTAAGAGCAGCATGCCAAAGCCACTTGTATGCATAGCATTACGGGCTGGCTTAAAATTAACTTAAGATTAACTAAGCAATGATGTAATCAGTGATAAAACATTATTGTAAACAGATAACAATAAAGCACAAATGATTATTACAAAGACAGGTCATATGGTTGCATGCATTGCTGTACATTCAGTAGAATGGAGTATTCTGTTAGTTCGTGTATTTAAAAAATAACAAAGTTAGATTGGGTCTTGGGTTTAACATTTATGTGATATAATTGTGAGAAACATTTAAGATATACAATTTATAAGGTTCAGTTATTCAGTATTTATTTGGTTTTGGGTGAATAAGTGATCTTTGAGAAGAGACTTGAATTTATAAACAGGTAGTGTTTCTTTTATATTTACAGGTAATGAATTCCAGATTTTAGGGCCTTTTATGTGCATTGAGTTTTTGCATAGCGTGAGATGGACACGAGGAACATCAAAGAGTGATCTGTGCCTTGTGTTATGGTCATGTGTTCTGTTGAGGTTGGCAAGGAGATGTTTGAGGGGAGGGTTAATATCAGAGTTAAGTGTTCTATGTATGTAATAGATGCAGTAATAAGTATGGATGTTTTGTATGGTTTAGTGTTTTGAATATTGGTGGAGTGTGCTGTCTGTAGTGGGAATTTGTTATCATTCTGACTGCAGCCTTTTGTTGGGTAATTAGTGGTCTGAGATGGTTAATTGTTGTTGAGCCCCATGCACAAATTCCATAGGTGAGATAGGGGTAAATAAGAGTGATATAGGGCCAGGAGGGCTGACTGTGGAACATAGTGCCGTATCTTCGATAGTATGCCTACGGTCTTGGAAATTTTCTTAGAAATTTGTTGTATATGTGTTGCGGCCCCCTACCAAACTAGTGGTTAAATGGTTAACCTGCCGGCCGGCAGTACCACTGGGTACGTCATCAAACCCAATGTGGGGACTGCTGAGCCGGCCTTAGAGCAGTAAGTACCTGAACACCTCACGGTACGCACCGCAGCAATAAGTATCTGAACACCTCACGGTACACATCTACTGGCTTTAGAAGCAGTAAGTACCTGAACACTTCACGGTACGCATCCAAGCAGTAATTACCAGAACATCTTACAGTATAGATCTACTGGCAGTAGAGAGAGTTCTCCTGCCCATCGTTTGGTATTCTACTGGCTTATACTGATTTTAGAAGAGCAGCTCACCTCAGCTCACTGAGTCTGATGGCCTCAGTTATTTGATGGCTGCACTTGGTGAGCTTGTAGCATGGTGTTCTGCTAGTAATTTATCGGACCACCTTGCGGTGTGTCAATTGGTCTTGAAGGCGGTAGACAGTACTCACCAGACCATCTTACGGTGTACTTCTACCGGCCTTGGAGAGTATTTACAGGACTACCGGTGATGTCTGCGGACTCACCGCCTACGCTGGTCAACTGTGGGCCGGAGTCATCTGATGCTGTTTTAGTGGGACATTACATGAAGAAAAGGTTGGAGTGTTACACTGAACTGGGCTA